TGATTATTTTATTCAATTCCCCAAAAAATTAGTATAATTTATTCCGTCTGTTTGCTGTTTGAATATATTTGACTTTTTTTTTTTTGGGTGTTGAGTGGCTATCGTTCTTTCCATCTTTATCACTATATCCCATTTTATGGACGAACTATTTAAATAAAAATTAAATTGTGTGGAGTGAATGTTTGGCTGGTCAAACTTTTATAGTATCCAACAAATGTGCAGACAGACATTTTTTGGGTAATTAAAGAAAATCATGCGTCGAGAAAAACATGAATTTGACCTTGAAGTGCTTACTTTACACCCATCAGTCAATTGCTTTCCTACACGTTTCCGTAATGACACCTCAATACAGATTATCGACACCTCATTTTACTTATTATTTACAGAAAATGCACACTATCCGCAATTCTCATGATCAAAGTCAAGTCTTACTAATTTACTTGACAATGAAGATTTTCAATGTGACGCTATTCAAATTTATTTATTTTCTTTCATTCCACAGCCAATTGGAATTTCACTTCTTCTTCATCCTTCAAATAGCTTCGACCAACAGTGCGGGTATATTGCTTAATGATTGACGACTTTGTAATTTCGAAGCTAGTAACAGATGGAATAAATTCCTTCCATACTACTTTAAGAGGAAACCATGATGATCAAGAAGCATAAAGACAAATAAATTATATAAACTGACTTTTTTTTTCATTGACGCAGCACAAAAAAATCTCCTGACGAAAAAAAATTGAATTTTATTCAAACAATTCGTGGCTTGCAAATTAAAGCAGTTGTTGAGACACAAAAAAAATCTTATGTGAGCTGCTGACGTAAATAAAAAAGTCTTGTTTTATTTTTCACAGATACTAGACAAGAACTAGATACACAAAAATATTTAAATTTTTATCCTAGATTTTATTCATTCACAATATGTTTTCCTCCATATGCAATATTTATGTTTGTACAGCATGTAAGACACACACAAAAATTGGATATAAAATCTATGGCAAGAAAATACAGCAACATCAATTTTTTGAATGCTAATAACAGCTTTCTAATATCTCCATTTCACATGTTCAATTCAGTCTTTCTTTTTTTTCATTCAATTTTTCCTTTAAAAACTCATATAAGCTGGCACTGTTAAAGCACAAAATCAGGCTCTATAACCGTGTAAAAATAGGGGGCTTTGAAGAAGCAGAACAAGTACTTAATAATAATAATAATAATGTGAGAGGGTTCCAGCCTGGCGGTGTGTTACTACACGTTGCGTCGAGCTAAAGGCACTGCGATCCAGAGAACAAGTATTTACTGGCTGAGGGATTTTTTTATGGATTTTTGGTTTTTTTCATTACTAATCCAGAGTTTCCATGCTCTGACAATTACCAGTTCTTAACAAATTCTCTTCATCTTTTGCCTGCTGAACATTCATACTAAAAGCAAGGCGCATTCACTCGGGATTAACCTCAAAAATCGAAAACCCTAAAATAATCCCAGCACTTTCTTTCATCAAACTTCGAATCCAACTTGAAATCTCTCAATGATTTATCAACTAAAGAAGTAGAGCTTTACCAGGAGGTGCCAAAAGAAAGATGTCAATTCATCTAGGGGCCGTTCACTTATTACGTTCGCATTTTAGGGGGAGGGGGGTTTGAAAAATTGTAACAAAAGATAACATAGGGGGGGGGGGGGGTTCAAGAAGTATGAAACGTTCTAACTGTCGTCTGTCTTTTAAAAAAAAGCTCACGAAAAAAATTTGTTTACAAATTCACACCAAAAACATTTTTTGAACGTTCAGGGGGGGGGGGGGGGGGGGGTTGTGAGTTGAAACATTTTTTTTTTTTTTTTTAAATTCTTAGTTTTATTGATTCATAAATCATTTTTCAATTGTGCTACGAATATTTATAATTTTAATTTGTAAAGTTTTTTAATTATTAATATTATTTGCATTACAATAAATTTCGAAAAAATGTTCCCTAATACGGTTTTTGAAAATGCTAATTGAGTTAAATTTCTTAATGTCTTGTGGCACTGTGTTGAAAAGATTAGGACCTCGTATATAAAATGTGTGACTACCTAAGACATATTGTAACAAGGGGGGGGGGAGGAAGGGGTGTGTGAAAAAAGTCGATTTTTTGCGTAACGTAATAAGTGTACGGCCCCCTAACAATATCAGCTTTATTGAATGATTGGTATAACTTAGAATTGCTCCACCATATTTATTCTGGTAAAGAGTCTACAAAAGGTTTTCGACCATAAATAACCAAAAGCTGAACACTCTTAATAAATTTCATAAATATAAACTTTTTGAAAGCTGTGCAAATGCATTTGTTCTTAGCACCACTAGTAAAATGTAAACATTGAAGCATCACAACTATGCTTAATTATATTTGAAATTCTCTCTTATATTCATCCGCATACATGAAATGTGCTTAAAACATCACTCAGAGCTCAATTAATGATGAATTCAAATTGTTTTGGATTAAAAAAATGCATACATAAAATTCAAGAGAGTATCAGGGATTGGCAAGCTTTGAACATCAACAATCTCTCACATTTCCCGTTAAAACATTGCGCATGGCAACAAACACCTCAATTTTCCTTCAAAACAGTGTGAAATATGCTTAAACAATTTGTTAACAAAACATTTATTTTTTTAAAAGAAAATCTTTTTGAATAATGTTCTTTGTTCATTGTTTCACGTATCATTCATTATATTTCTATTTCCCTCTCCCATTTCTCTATGTTTTTCTTTTCTTCCTCTTTTTTTTTGTTTTTTATAATGTTAATGCGGTATTTTGAGATTTATTTTATTACCCTTAGAGCGACAACAACTTAAAGTTATTGCATGAACAATAAGAAAGAAGAATGAAAAATCTGAAAACAATAAAAAATGATTTACTTCCGTGAGAAATATGAGTTGAAAAAAAAGAGAATTGAAATGTTTGAAATTGTTGAAAATTTGTTTTGAATTTGATTGATTGGGGCGCATTTATAATATGAGGAGAAACTAGAAGAACCTTCCTTGAAGAACATTAAGCAAAACAGAATCTAGACACTAGTTCAGATGTTTTGTAAGATTTCGACTAGCTAAACGAGGTTCCCACATTCATTCATTCATGCCTTGGCTGGGGCGCACGTTCAGAGATCATCTAAAGACAGCTCTATCCTTCTTCCAGTTCTTGATATTTAGGACTCTAGCGTCCTTAACAACACATCCAATCCAGGTATTCTTTGGTCTTCCTCTAGATCTCTTGCCATCTATAAAGTCTGCAACAGTCACTCTAAGTACTACAAACCTAATATTTTAATGAAAACCAGACAAAAGACAAATTGTCCATAATGTCTCAAATCCCGTCCAAAATCAAGCATCAAAATAGCTTTATTACCTCATCTAGTTTCTTCAAAAAAAAAGCACAAAATGAATGAGAGAGATCTTCTTATCTAAATGTAAATTGCTTTAAGAGGATAGCATAAAGATAGGAAGTGATGGATTATTGCTTGAAGAGAAATAGCAGTTAACTTAAATGGATATTGTTGAAAATGTTTTAATGATGGGATATGAATCCACAATGGTCCTTGAACACATAAATAAATTTAAATTTCCTTTTTGCTGTGGATTTACAGACGAGATTGTTGAGTCATGTTGTGGTTTTTTTGTGAAAAGAACTTTTAAAGTCATTTACACGTCTTTAATCCATTGTTTCCAAGTGAAGTCATTTTGGACGAGACAATTGAATTGCAAATTTTTGGTGGATGTTTGTTTTTTGATAGCGGAAGCAGTCTCATGTACAAGTCAAATTTATATTTTTTATTAAACACATTTCCGTTGAGTAATTCTTGATTCTTAGAACTTCTAAGAATTTGCATGCAGCATCAAAAAAAGATTAATTTTTCAAGAACTCGACGAACTATCTTCATATTAATACAATAATTTATTTCATTCTGTAAAAACTCTCGATTGCATGCTATAAATGCTGTTAATTAAGACAATTTTAAATTACGAATAGTAAATTTTTGTTTACTAATTCTGTAAAATTATGCTGTAAAGAAGTGCCTTCATAAATACCATTATGAACAAGTTACTGAATATTTGACAACTTCTATGATAATAATTTCAAAATTTACATAAATTTGATCTAGAAAGGGGCCGTTCATTTATGACGGCCATCAAAAAACTTTATTTTTAAACCCCCCAACCCCCTCTGTCACAAAACTGTCATGGATGTCAATACCCCCCTCCACCCCATTAGGACGTCCAATCATAGACACAAAAAAATTGAATATCAAAAATTTTCTGACCCCCATCCCTTCCCTGTCACAACGTGTGAAAAATTGCCTCTACCCCTTACCTAAATGTTAGACGTCATAAATGAACGACCCCAAACCTAAAATCGTAAAATTTCTCGATTAAACTAAATCATTGAGTAAGTTTGAGTAGCATTTTAGATTTGTATATAAAATTAATACATTTTCGGTAGTGAAGTACAAATAGGAAATCAAATTGAAGCAGATAAAAATCTACATAATAATGCATAAGTCACAAATTATTTTCTTCATCTACACGCAAAGTGTACAGATAAGATTTAAGGCCTTAACATAAAAAATATTGAATTTGAATTAAAATTGATTGTCAATTTCAAAACGAGTATTATTTTTCAATAGGAAAAAAAAATCTTTCGAATATTTTATGTGGGACAACAATGAAATGAATGTTTTTTTTTGCTGACTGTCCATGACAATTCGGATCGTTTTGCTCTCTTCTGCATAGTTTAGGGGTTGTAAACCGAGATTTTTTGAATTTACAATTTAGACTTTAAATGGATCAATAATTATTTATATGAATGTGAAGCTTCAATGAAGCCTCACTAAAGTTCTTAAAGTGGTTGTTGCAATATTCAAAAGTCGTAGATTATCTGTAATATAACCTTAAAAATATAATAAATCAAAAAAATTGTTCACTATTTTTAACTTCGTAAACTATTAAAATTTATTTTATTTTTAAGAATTAAGGAATATCCAAGAGTATCCAAATTTATAACTAGGTTCAAAACTTAACTATCAGTTCCTAAAAAAATAATAATAATTGTTTCGACAATTTCAGATATTCTGCAATCCCCTAGGATCTGCACAAAAACATATATAGCTATACTTTTTCCGCTGAATTTGAAATCTGTCGCTTGAATAAGTTTTCGATTTCCTGCAGTGTCTTTCCTTTCGTTTCGGGCAGAAGCAAATAAACGAAAATCGTACCAAACAATGATACAATTGAATAAAGAAGAAATACTCCATTATTTCCCATAAAATCAAGCATAGATGGATATGACTTAATAGCGATAAATGACATAAAGTATGCGACACAAACAGTCATGCCTGCTGTTACACCGCGTACACGTTGTGGAAAAAGCTCCGGTAACATTGCAAATGGGATCGTTAAGAAGCCAAAAGTGCTCGTTGTAATGTAAGCGAGGAGACAAAATGTTGAAATCCAATTGGCGTATGGCAAGTTCTGGGCGAATGATGATGAATAGACGGCCAATATTAGCATAGAAATTGTCATTCCTGTTGAATAGAGAATAAAAAAAAATTTCCATAAATTTCAAATTGAATTTTCTCATCACCTTATGCGCACGATTATGAAAATTTATTTCTCTCAATCTACATCTATGCTTTTTTCACAAGTACCTAAAGTACTTTTTTTTTAGCTTTTGAGGCAAAGTTTTTTTTTTCAACATCGATATTTTTGCATAAAATGACATTTCTTCAATGGTATATAACCAATTCAATCAATCATTAAGGGAAAATTGAATTTGAAATTTTGATAGCAAGAAAAAGTTTTGCTGCAAAGTCATTTTCAATTTACTCTTTTGCCTTGAGAAACAGCACAAAAAAATTTTTTATTTAGTTTTGTTTATTTGATAAAAAAAAATTGCATTCATTTTCCAAAAAAGTTTATCAGCGCATTTTCTAGCTCTTTTTTGTTGCTTAACAGGAAATGTTTTTATCGCTTTTTTTGTCTGACTGGATGTCAATTTGACTCGACAAATAAAAGCTCATCTACAACAATTTTGCAGTACAGAGGATGTGGAATAACGAGACAATAGTTCTTAATCTTCTTGAACCGTGACACACAGTCACAAAGCATATTTTGGGAATCACTGAACTGGATGACTTCTTACATTTAACTCAGGTAACTCATAATCAAGCTCAGTTTCCCAATAAACAAATTAATTTATGCGTGTGCCTTATTTCGTAGATTGAATCTGCAACAAACAAAGGTTGTCTGGATACATCATGTCTGAGTCTTTGGAAACTGTCTTAAGTTTTGTCTCCACCTGTGAGCTTTGAAAATCGTTTGTGCGTGTGACTTTTTCATATTAAGTTGAAGAACTGCAGAAGTTCTTGAATCCAACCACATAATAAGTCAAGCTTAAACCTTGAAGCAGAAAATGCGCAATTATCCTTCATTTATGCAGACACTTCCACTACTCTGACTATATTTCCAGATCGAGAAACTTTTCTTGCATATTAAGCGCAGCATGAAAATTTCAATCAATGACTTATTTGTTCTCATTCTCGAAAATATTTTTAAAGACCATTGTGGAAAAGTTTTCTTTTTTTTGATATTTTCCCCAATTCAACATTATAAAATTCCAATAATACTGCAAAATTTATGCTTACCTATGCCAGAGAAAATTGATGGTGGCTTTCTACCATATCTATCTAATATAAAGTATGCTAAAATGATTGTAGCAATAACTCGTGCAATTCCTATAAGTACGGTACATAAAAATTTATCAATTCCAGAACCAGCCTCCTCTGCAAATTGCGATGCATATACGACAACTACAAATGTACCGGAAAATTGCTGGAAGGCGAAAAATGCATTGATAATGGCAAGCGGTTTATAAATTTCCGGGCGCTTCAAAATGCTCCATAAGCTATCATTTTCACAGTTATTTCGTGAATTGATTTGATCATAAAACCGCTGCATTTCCTCATTTAATATCTCACTTGTGTACAATTCTATATGATAGAAATGAGAATAAAAGGAAGAAAGAATGTGTAGAAAAATTAAATTGCGTATGTCCGTATTAATTTATTATAGAAATTCTCGATCGTACCATCATGCTTAATGGCTCGTATATAAGCAAGTGCTTTACGTGCTTCATCCGTGCGTCCTCTACTGATGAGCCACGATGGTGATTCTGGCATGAAATAAATGAGGCCCAGTGTAAATATGCTAAATATTGCTGAAATTCCAGCAACTTTTCGCCAATCGTCCTGTTGAGGAAAATTAAATTTTAGCATCAATATCCATTGTTCTTTAGAACAATTGACGTAATACAATGTGTGCATGTTCACAAAATTGTTTACGCAATTGTTGTCACATTCATCTACAATTTTCCTTCCACAAACGTGAAACATACCGGAAAAATAAAGCCCAAAGTGTAAATCATCAAAATTCCAACCGCAATAGCCAAACTAGTAAACGTTGTGAGTCGACCACGTAATTTTGGTGTTGCTATTTCTGCAGAATAAACTGCTGCGGGTGAACTAGATAAGCCAATCGTAACACCTTTCATAAAAAAAAATATACGATAAATAAAAAATAACGGAATAAAAATGTAGTGTTGAAAATTGATGAAATTTCATGATACCAAAAAGGTTCTCTTAAAGTTGCAGACAGCAGAGAAAAAGAAAATTCATTTGTGACATCAAATTTTTAAGTACTTTTAAGTAGATACTTTAAAAATAATTTTCTTAAAGCTATCATCATTGTCGGTTAATATATTTTCTCAACAAATAATAAGAAACATTGCTGAAAGCTCAAAGTGATGACATTGGCGCATTTATGTAGATTTTTTTCTAATTATTTTTTAGAAATCTTGTGTTTTCTGGCAATAAAATCGAACAAAAAAGTCCAGCCTAAAGGTATCTAGCGTAAAAATGTAGATACTAAGGTCTCTTCTTTTCTTTGAAATATGTTGAAAATCTACATTAAGCTCCTTATAAAGGAAACTAAGCTTTCATGAACTCTCATGTGAACACATTTTCTCTCATAACACATTTTTCTTAAAGAGAAATAAAGAATCGTTCACATATTTTGTAGCATTATGAATGACAATTTTCGATCTCACTCCCCCCCCCCCTCATTTCTCAGCCTCTTAGCCATTAAAAATGAAATATGAATTGAAGCTCCCCACTTAATATTACAAAATATAGGAACAAGCCCTAAAAAGAGTGCAATATATTGATAGCTCATACATTGATAGCTTATAAATATAGATTTATTTTAGTTCCTTTGAGCATAACAACCCGAACGATACAAATCTTACGAGAAATGTTAAAAATTGTTGCTATATTTAATTAAGAAGCTGTTGCAAGACCCTCGAACCTACATTTTGATCCATGTTCATTTTCGTGTTTTTCTTTGCTTAAAAATGACTATCTGGTACTGGTCGGGACCTACATTTTATAAATATTCTCTCCGATACTTTTTATTCCCTTCAATAGATCTCTCTCGGTAGCAATTACGAACTACCATAAAAAATATTTAATAATGCATAAAGGTTACATAAACAACAGTCCCTTACCTATCAAAAATCGACCCAGTAGAATTTGCCAGAACATTTGATCAAAGTCAGTTTGTGATGAAAAATACATAAGTCCCCATGAAATTATCGCTAGTATATTGATAAGCACAACTATATAGAATAAAAATAAGCATATAAAAATTATTTTTAAACTAGAAAAATCAACTCACGCGTAAAACGCCGTCCGATTTGATCGAGAATAGTTGCTGATAAGATTCCCCCAAGTGGACAAATAAGCGTATTCAAGGACGCTATATAAAAAATAATTAATCTCAATTATGAGTAATTTCATGATAATTTTCAAGCACAAAGTCGAATTACCAAACCAACTAGCTTGCTCGTCATTCAATCTCATTGGATTATCTTCCCTTCTGAGCTCTTCAAGTGTAATTGCTGGAAATCCTATAAGAAATGAATGCATTTAAAATTACTCATTAAAATTCTCAATCATTTAACTCACCAAGTCCCATGCCTGAAGATAATACTGTAGCATTTGCCATTAAACTGCAAGCAATCTAAAAGGGATAATGAGAATAAGAAAATAGTGAATGGAATGTTAGTTTTGACTCATTTATATGAGTAAATGATAGGAGCTTTGATAGTCCAAAACCAGATATAACCACATGATCTTTATTTTAGACTATAAAAGAGTAGAGGATACAACTAAATAAAGGTCTGGATAAGGACGAAAAAAATTTAAAACCCCTGTAAATATCTGAAAACCCGTTCTGGCTACAAGTCTGCCAAATAGCTTTAATCACTTTAATAATTGCTAAAAAGCACCACATCACTTATCAAAAAATGCACCAAAAGTGAAAAGAAAATTAGCAGAAATTTCCATAAAATTTTATTAAGGTAATTTAGGAATTTTAATTCAATTGGCGTTAATTAAAAATTCGCACATAGAATAGCTACTAACCTGAATCCATTCTGACTTTTTTGCTTGCTCTTTTGAATTTTCTGAGAGATCGTTCTTCGCCATATCTTGCTTTAGAGATGTAAACTCGTTGGGTTGATCAGTATTACTGTCGCACATCTTAGATGACTGAAAATTGATGTAATTAATTTTAAAATGATGCTAAGCGATAATATAATAGGAAGGAGGAATGATGATTTATGATCCCAGTAAAAAAAACTAAATTTCGTGTCATTAACATTGCAGACAATATTAATTATTATAAACACATTTTCTGTCTACAGTCGCGAGAAAAAAACATTTCAGTGTCATATTAAATTTTGTGTGATAAACTGCTGCGTGTCATAAATCCTTGCCAACAACAATTGTAAAAACAGTAAATAAAATGTTGAGATAGGTCCTGTCCTTTTTCCGCATTCATTATCAGCTATTGTTCAGTTTGAAGCTCGAAAATGTGTCAGAATAACAAAAGCTGTTATAATAACCTTATTGGAGATATAAAATATGATTTTATTCACAGCCGATGCCATAAAAAAAATCCATTTTTTTTCATTTTATTAGCAATAGATTGAATCGTTGATGGAGTTTTGCTCACTGAAACCCTAGTAATTTACTATTAAAATTGATTGAAAATTCAGATTTACGTCCCATCACATTCGAGTATCACTATTTTATGGAATTTCAATGAAAATGTACAGTGACATACATTTTGAATCTAATTATTGAGAAGATCTTAATTTGCTCTTATTAAGAAGATTGATTAATCTACAATAATGGTTGGAAGTTTTTTACATAATGTTATGATTAATTTCCTAGATTGAATAATTCTTGCATAGATTAATAGCATTATTGGATTGTAACTCTATGTGAAGTTATCTAATAGACTAGATTCATTCAAAATTCTTATTTCAATCAGTGAGTGATAAGTAGGGTGACCATCTGCGTAGTTTTACAACGGACAGTCCTGTATTTCAAAACCCTGTCCTGTATAAATTTTTAAATTTTGTTCCTGGTCCTGTATTTTTTTCATGAAAGTTTCCGTTAATTTTCGAATTTTACTCTATGTCCTGTTTTTTTCGAAAAAATTTACCAAATGTCCTGTATTTTCATGAAAACTAGATGGTAACCCTAGTGATAAGATAATTTTTAAGAAAAAAATGAACAACTCTTTTGGTAGACTATCAACCAGGGGCTTAGCCAGGGGAAGGGGGGGCCTAGGGGGCCCGGTATTAAGTATTTATAGAGAAGAACCAGTTAATGTAGAGGAAGTGATGAAAGAAATGTCAAAATCAGCACGAAAAATTAAATTTAATCTATGAATAATGAATTAAATATTTAAACTTATGAAGAATGAATATAGATTTAAGGATACAAAATAACGGTTTTTTAATTTTCGAAAATAGCCTCCCCCCCTTAAAAATTTTCTGGCTACGCCCCTGCTATCAACTCTATGTCCAAATCATTAAAAACCAATTAATACTAATTTTTTGGAAGCATCAAATCTGTTCCAAAAGTATTATTCAAAATGATGACACATAAAATCTAATTATTCTCAGAATAATCACCAACTTAGCTAAACCGATCAAAAGTCATTATTTTTCCTCTCGAAAATTCTAAATCCGCATAATCACGCATGATGCAATCACTAACCATAATAAAAACATCACAATCCACCACTAATTGACATTTGTGAGCAGTTGCGAATTTTTCAATTAGAATCTCATCAAATCAAAATAAAATAATCAATTTATCGTTAAAATTTTAATGATCATTATTTTATCACATCACATGTCTCAATCATTACCATTTTTAATCAATATTCGATATGCTATTTATTCCCGACTCATTTATTATGAATACAGAAAGTCATCCACAATTGATGAGTGATGCAAAAACAAAGCTGAGTTTTAATCTACAAAATGAAGAGGTCAAAACAAGAGGAAACAAATAGAATATGAATCACTATCATAAAAAAGGAATTAAAAACTATTTATATGCATAATATTGAGTTGTTCCTGATTAGAAGTTATTAAAAGATTATCAGGGTTCTATATGTGCATTGAACTTGGCATTTAGAATATAATTATTTGGTGTTTATGTCGAGGATATATTGATTGACATTTGATGAAAAAATTAATAGAATTCGGAAACTATCGATTCTTACCAAATGGATATGGTTTTGGAACTAATTATTGATTAAAAACGATAAGACCTGATAAGTTTGAAGTCATTTAAAATATTTAAATTTTCAATTACAAGCTCATCCAATCTAATTAAAGATTTCCAACATCCTAAAGGCAACACAATGCATTAAAGAAAATTTGACATTTTCACACAAAATGTCCATTCCTAAAAGTCACAATGGAAAGAGAATCCGGCACATAAATTATACTTAATCATAATGATCATTAATATTTATTGAAAATTATCTGTTATGACATTTTTGGAACTATTAAATTAAGCATGTGCAAAGATTTAAACTCATTTATGATTGTTAATGATGTTTGAGTTGTCAAACAGATAATTGCATTTCTATTTCCATGTTGATAATTGTTCTGATCTATAATCAGTTCTGCCTTTTGTTTGGTAAATGCTTACATCATTAATATCACAATTTTTGTCCATAAATCAATTTCTGATGCAGATAGAAATATTTCTTTCCACATTTCATTCAATTCTAAACGATAAACGAGTTGTGATGTCAATTCCAAAATATAAACATGAAATTAAATTCAAACCTAACTGACCGAAAGACTTTCTTCTCAATAACATGAAAACGATGAATCATTTAACAGGCAATTTCCTGTGCCGCACGTGACTAATTTCTTACAATGATTGATTGGAGAATTTGAAAGTCAATAGCAAGACCTATGTTATAATGCTCGTATAAGTAATCTGAGAAAGCCAAAATGCCAGATACAAAATTGTTTCTTATTTTCAAATTCATTCAACAGGGTCTAAAATTGATACAAAATTTTTGTTGTAGCTGATTTAAGAGTGAATGATGGTAAGATCACAGATTGTCCTTAGAATTCTAATAACATGCTCCCAAATGACACTAGTCAATTAATCGATCAGAAATCTGGCACCAAGCCGATGTAACTCTGGCATAATTTGATCATGCCTGCTTGGTGCCAGATTTCTATTTGATTAAGTTTATCTAAGATAAAACTCATAAAAACCACAAATTGTCAACTACTTAAACAAAAGTTGATTTTTGGGTAAGAGGACCTAGCAGGACTGGTGTTTTATTTAAAATACGATTCACTTTATTAATTTGAAGCATTTGAAATAATTTAAAGTGAACATTGACTCAAATACTATACAAATCTAGCTAAAGCCCACATAAACTACATTCATGTCATACCAAATATGCATATTAATTTTTAATACCAAAAGAATTGGATTGAATTCATTGATTTTAAATGTTGAATAAATATCAATCACAATTTTATCTTCTTCCTATCCAATCAACCTCAAAGGTGAAAAATTAAGGTCGCATGCTTAAAAAGAAGACAGAGAAAAGTAAACGAAAGACATGAACAAAAAAAAATTTCAATGTCAATGCTAAGTGAACAGTATAGGCAACAAGATTGAGAATAAATTTACAAAAATTTTTCGTTACTCCAAAGCAAAAGAAGCAAAAGTAAGTCACGTATATGTTTATTCTACCTTTTTTCTGCTTTATTTCACTTACGTGTTTTCTATCTTGTCTCTCCAACTTTCCAATAAAATACGAAAATCAATGAATGAATGTGTGATGAAAGAGTAAGTAAAATCAGCAAAAAAGCCAATTATCGTCACGCAATATTATTTTTTCCTCTTTTTTGATAACCAAAAAGATTATTTTATAAATTTCATATAGATTTGAATTAATTCAATGTTCACATTAGAATTTATTATTTCAGTTCCTTTTTTCATCTGATCACAGACTAAAGCATTAATAAACTTTAAAATTTAGTTATTCACGTTTCACTTCCCAACAGACTGGATACAACAAATACATTTAAAATTACGTTCTTTAAGCATGAAGAAAATATGAGAGCGATGTTTATTTCTTTTTCATTAATCAGCTGAGATGAATGTTGACTCTTTTTATTATTATTTTGTGATATTTACTTCTCTTTGGATTTAAGTATGAGAGACACTTGAATATACCAAAAAAAGTATTCTGCAAAAATTCCGACAAAATTATTTTTGAGAGAATTAACTCAACTGAGTGTCTGTGAAAATTATTTTAAATCGAGATGAATTTTTAATTAAGTTCAGAAGAGTTTCGATTAAAACCAGTTTCTTAATTATTAGATTCTCTTTAAGGTCATTTGTATTTTTGATATCTAGATGCGCTTGACGAAGCTAATATTACTTTTACAAAACTTGATCATCTACATCCATTGTTTTTTGAGACTGAGCAAAAATTTAAAGCTCTCAGTAATTGGTTATCAATTTATTTTATATTTTGTCCTTGAGTTCTTATTTTTGAGAATATGAAATCATCGTGAAATTAATCTGAGCATAAAAAACCAATGAATTTTTGAATTGTTAAATCTAATTGAAAGTTGATTTTTAGAATTGGAATATTATCAAGGCGTCCTTACTTCTTATTAATGGAAAGTAGGTTTTTTTGATTAGCTTTGATCAAAACTCAAATGCTGATTAGAATAATATTTGTTTCAAAAATGGAAATTCTAAGTTATTTAAATTGTTAATAATTTCTATAACTTCTTCAACATTTACGAACCAACTTTACTTGAATGAGATCCCAACATCTCAAATCATATTAAGAAGCATTAAGGCTTGATCAAAACAAATTGCTAAAATAACCGACAACAGACCATCAACAACAATCAGATCACAACACATTCCCTGCTAAAAACATACCATTAAAACCTTTGATGTAATTTAATCAACGCATTTTAATTCCAACAATAGAAACAAACATGTTTTTCATAAACCCACTGCTGTGTGTCTTCCTGAATAAATTTACAACATCGTGAAAATTCAAAATTGAAAAATAAAATCATGCAATAAATTCGACATGTGTCACTCTTTGATGATGTCACAAGTTCCACACTACATATGTGGTCTGAATTTTGTAAAATTAAAATTCGTCGGCAAACAGTGCAGCATACTACATTTATCAAAATATTCATAAATTGTTGTTGACTCGCGTTTGTTGTTTATTTTAGAACTAACTTCATAACAAGTGTGAAAGCACTCATTCATCACTGCAAAGTAGAGTCCAATTAGCGTTTATTTGCAATAATTATGCTGCATGTTGAACAACAAACAACGAACTCTAAGGTGGAGAAAAATTATTATAGAATAACTGGTTGGAGCTGTCTGCACACATAACACGATTTGGATACACGGATTCGATTTCTTGGGTTTTATTCTGTTTAAGTCTCAACTTGGTGACAATTCAAAGATTTAGAACGGCGGTATGCATCATATGCGGATACTTGAACTTCCTCCAACCCTTGATCATCATTCTTTGATCTGAATTTGGATGAAGCATAATAATTTAACATAAAACCAACTTTGGAGTCTTAAACAAAAACAAAACGTTATGCATATATTTTTAAAAACGACCTAGTTGGTCGAAACTACAAAGGAACATTTTGAAGAAATAAATTACTTCCTAAAATGCATCGTTCGAATGTCGGAAATACTTCTAAAGCTATCCACAACAGAAAAATATTCAATTTGAATTCTCATTGATAATGTCAAATGTTGTAGATGAATTGAAAAAATTCGAAAATTGAAATTGTAAATTGTTCAAAATAAGATAATAAAAGAATTCACAGCTATGTGTATGTCATGTAAATTGAATTTGCAATTCAATGTGAAGGTTATATGGTACACGGAAAACACTCACTCGACATCAAATTTGAATCATAGAATAAAGAATGAAGGAGCAGGAGAATCAGCAGTTTTTGTTATCATTAAAAAAAATACACGTACGTAAGTGACCATATGTTCAACACATTTGCTTCTACTGTTTTAAAATCATTTTTATCTTCACAGATTTCCTCTTTTTCTCTTTCGTATTTCCTTTCCATGTCATATGATGAACAGATAAAAAAATATTAAAGATTTTGTTTTACAAATTTTTGTTATAAATTATTCATTATCTTATTTCTTTTATTCTTATTCTCTCGTATGGATTGTATAACCGGATTTGTTATTGATTGTGTTGACGTACACACCTTCAGGATATGAAACATACATTTATGATGTTTGTACAAATTGCATCATTTATTGTGCAGAAGTAAGCAAATAGTCATAAATGCTTGCAAGCTTTTTCACTCTATTTTTATGCATCGCAATGGAATAAACAGTGTGAATTGTCCAGATAACAAGGTTGATAGATTTAACAATGGAAATATTTACTTTCTTTATAAAACCATATTTCACATATGATAGCCATGCAATTGATAACATGAACAACAATGTTATAAAATGAAACTTAGATTATGGCAAAGTATCAAAAAAAATATGAGATTTATAGAGCATTATGTAAGTCCACTTGGTGGACAACATGAGTTGTTATGTAAATTTTAAATTTGAAGCTCAAAGTGTTTAGCTCTAAAACCTTTTAATGTGAAAACCGAGGTTAGATTTCCACCACAAGCTAATCTGCAACATTGATATTGATACAATGGTCTCGTGTTACATCAAAAAGCTGATGACAGTTTAACGTGTGAGGATTCGCAAGACTTCACGACCAAAACTTGACCTACACTTTATAATGAGATCCAAACCACAATTTTGACGAAATTTCTACGGATAGCCTACAAAAAGAATTGCGAGCTCCATTTCCAGGATATAAACTTTCCATTATTAATTTCGTACTAATGATAACTGTGTAGGTGTCAGTAAAAGTACTAAGTTTTTGTATATAGAGTTGATTTTACATTTATGGAATTATATTGCGAGAACAAGCAATGGACGTGAAGACTTGAAAATTAAGATATCCCCAAATTATTAAAAATCCATAATGAATACATCAAGATTAAATTAGCATTAAATTTATCCAATCAAAAGAATAAAGTCAAATAAATTCAGCATAGCAACAAGACAACTTTTTAACAATTCTCAAAAGAACAGCAAAAAAAAGCACATCTTCTTGAAGAATTTTAAAATATTTAATTTATTTTCTACACGACTGTTTTAATTACTGTGAACATGTTGTGTGTCATGTATGATAAATTAAGAAAATTCACTTTTATGCATTAACTATGCATAAATTTGATAGTAAGAAAAAGTTTGCAGACGCACAGATGAACATGTGTTATGTAAAATGTAACTCATGCCAAACAAAATAATCATCCACATCCGAAAGCCATAGATAATGTAGTAAGAATTTTGAAGGAGAATAAGAATTTATGAAAATTTTTCGTTCAAGATTTTTAAAATTTAAATTTTTTCAAGGAATAAAATATACAAAATATTTTGTATGCAAATTTTTTGATTCCCTCTTTTCTTCATGTGTCGACTTTGTGACAAAAGTGTGTATACCGACATCACTAAGGAAATATATAGGTCATGAATTAATGATTTTCGATATATATCCATGAAAATCAATCGGCACTTAGCAGCCAATACTTGTAGTCCCGCTTCAAACTCTCACTCTAAGCAGAATAAACAGAATGAATAAACAAAGATCAATTGAAAATTCATGAAATGTCAGTCGGATTGAATGATGAGATGATAAAATTTGTTGAAATGAAGATAGTAACTGAAACAATGAATGAAATTCAGTTCAAGAATGCATTTACAAACAATCCCGTTAAATCTTTGTAATGAATTTAGATGAATTTTTCATTTTTACCACATTTTATGTCAGAGATTACGTGACAAATCGGATGAGAATGATCTTAGACTTTGATAGTCTTTGACTATTGGAGAAGCTTTGAAAAATTGAAAATTACTTAAAACAAACTCTCTTTTTTAAATACTGAACTTGAGCATACGCATTGTATTGTAAAACAATTTATGGTTAATACTAACCAATTGATCATGCACAAAGCTTTTTACGAGAGTAATTAAAATACGTACTTTATAACAGTAAACGATAAACTTTTCCTGCTAATTATTTTCACTACTATTTTCCCACAGATTTTCCGCTTCGTTTAATGAGATTATACTTGATTGATTGATTAATTCGAGCGTAGTAAATTAATTTATTGTGTATGCTTAAAACTTTTGTTTTTATTTTCACTATGAATTTTTTTTATGATATTTTAACGCGTCAAAAAGTAAGGATCAATTATTCAGCATTTATTTTGATTAAATAGACTTTTCGGCTGATCGTGCAACAAAAACATGCGATCGTAATTGTTGACGAGTAAACTGAAAAACTATGCAAAAATAAAGATTTTCTTCTTCTTCCTTTCTACGAGACTTAATCGCGACGTAATTTGAAATCAAACTGAAGGGAATGAATCTCTCACAAACTGCATTTATATTATTTGATTCCATACTCATTCAATGTTTATTTTGAGCGGTTAATTAATTATTATCAATATTCATACATAGAAATTAATCCACTTTATATGATGACAGATGTGTGAGGCAATTACGATAATTGAGAGAAAAATTTTCTTCTAAACTCACTTTTATTTATTTTTAAACGAGAAATAAATTTTAATGGAAATTAATTGCTCTTCTTTCGCTTCAATGCTTGAAAATACTAATAAATTTATCAACGCGTGTCTGTAGCTAAAATTTTATCTTATCACTTTTTCGAAACTTTATCGAAATGATGTGTAACAACATATAATAAAAATTATCAAAATTTATAGAAGTGTGGCTACGTTTATCAGTTGTTAATGATTAATGATAAATGTTTAAATTAGCTGACAATGAGATAATTTTGATTTTAAGAAAAACTAATCTTGGCAGGTGTTAAAATGATCATAACATGACACTTAAACTTTTAAAGTGTTGCAAATCAATCACTAATATCAAAGTGCAAAATGAAAACACATTATTGTTATCGCAATCGTGTACAATTATATATAACCTAGGATCTATGATTTGTGTTTTGATTAGAAAATATCATTTTAAAGGGCGATTCCACGGATGAATTTTTGCAAAAAAACCGACTTTGAATCAAATTTTCTCTCAAACAAATGACTTTATAGCTCCAGTCTTAACACTTACTTATGTAAATCACCGAGATCTACCTTTATGTATAATTAACTTTTGTCGTCAAGCTTTAATTAATGAAATATTTGGATTTTTGTCAGCGTTGGTATATTACACGATGTTGAATTCTGAGTTTGAAAGCAAAAATATACGACTTTAAAGACATCTAGACAACTATTAATGGTTGTTATACTGTTCATTTTATCCTTTTTTTATGATTCTGCATGCTTAAATTGGCTTGAAAGGCACTCAATTGTCAGAAAAATGAATAATTTTAATGCATTTCATGTAATTTACCAACGCTTAAGCCAAATCCATGAGAAAATGATTTTTAAAAAGCAAAGTTTTACCTTAATTAACAATTATTTCTTTGATTAGAATGTTGTTTCTAAAAGTTTAATGGTCAATAAAGATCCTTATCTCGTTTTAAAAAGTGTAAGCTTAGTTAAAGTTTATTTTTGAAACAATCAAATTTTTAAAGAACATGGATCAAAAATTTATTTTTTTCGAAATTCAACTCATCCGTGAAATTGCCCTGAATGGATATTTCGATTTTCTATCAACTAATTGTTTTGCTTCATATTAAATCGAATCTGTTCAAATTGCTTTTTACACAATAAATCTAATTAATCCTTGACTAAAAGGATGTAATTCTTTTGCAATGATGAACCTTGCCATATTGGAAACAAACCATCCTTTACTCGTCTACAAAAAGTTTTACACCATAGAATACCATCTCTTTTGATTACTGGGGGTCCTCGATTTGTGTAGGTGTTTTGTTCCAGAAAAGTCCTATTCAAATCGAATCTACTCAAATCGAATTATTTACTTTTTGTATTCAAAATGTCCGTTACAAATATTTTTTATAAAAATTCTTTTCATTAATTTTCGTTACTCAAATCGAATCTATTCAAATATACAATACTATACAAATCAAGCTTAAAACTATTTCCGAATTTTGATTATTCAGATCTTTTCATCATAAATCAAAAGAAAAACACAAAGAATCGATTTAAAGGTTTGTCAACAAACTTGCTTTCAGTTCAAACAAAAGGTTTTTAAACTTTAATTAATTTTTAACAATCCCAAAAAGAATGAACTTGTATGGCTGTAAAGTTGAATTAAATTGTCGAGATATTCAAGAATCTTTTTTAAAATAATAAAATTTGATAATATGATAAGTTCACTTACCTTATGACTCCATTTTTACTGGAGTGTCAATTAAGCAATGACTTTTCAAATGCGTTTTACTCTACTTTTATTTGTTTCGGGATAATCTTTGTCAATTGACTACTTAAAAATTCATTGACTACTTAAAAATTCATTAACACTTGACAAATTAAGAGGTATAAAATAATAATTAAAGCAAATTTTTTTTACATAGGTACTTGAATTGTTGATTGTTACCATGGTAGTATATTCTTTAATATAACACACGCTTAAGCGTTTTAACTAATCAGTACCAAAGATAGACAAGCAGGTGTATAAAGATGATAAAGATAGTTGAAATTAGTCCTCAAAATGCAATTTTTTAATGTTAAACCAGTATTAATATAACATTTCAAAGAATCTTTGAAGCACTTCAAATGTTCTTGATTTAATCTTTAGTGGGGGAGTTTTATAAAAATTTCCTTAGAAAGTTGACATTAAGTCTGATTATTTCCTCCTATAATTTGCTTTACACTATTCAGTGTTGCAAATGTAGATGTCTACACTAGATGAAGAATGTAGATTCTTCAATAGTTTTTGTCTAGCTAAGAAACTTTCTTCATAAAGATCGATTCTATATGAAGATAGAAAATCTAATCTACACAAAGATTATTTGTACATAAAGATTCTGTCTACATAAAGATTCGATGTAGATGTCTACAATTCTACATTTTTTCCAGGTCTACATCAGAGAAGAATGTAGAATTGAAGACATCTGCATCGAATCTTTATGTAGACAGATTCTTTATGTAGAAATAATATTTGTGTAGATTAGATTTTCTATCTTCATGTAGAATCGATCTTTATGAAGAAATTTCTGTCTCAGAATTTATCTGATCCAGACAAATAGCCAGTATGCAACACTGATACTATTTAAGGGATTCTCGATTTGAAAAAATTCTATTTGAACATTATTTTTCTGGAGCAAAACTCCTTTTCAAATCGAGTTCCTCCTGCATAAAACACCCCCAACAAAAATTCGTGGTTTGCAATAAAATCACATTTTAAAAATGCATGAACTCGACATTAACTTACGAATAAAAATTTAATGAAAAAAAATAATTTAAATCACGATTAAAAAAATCCGAAAGTCATAAATTAACATCCAGAAAGGACTTTTTTTGTACTTGTGTAAAACCTCGTTATTATATAAATGTTGAAAAAATGCACTGTAAAAAGCTATAAAAAGCAAATATTTTGTTCCCTGCATAATTTATGAGCAAAAATGTTCAGATGGGAATAAACCTGTTGGTGCATTCAGAAAATTCATTTTTCCACAAAACTGAATAATTCATTGCATAACATTTACATGATGAACACATAAAGACATGCAATTGATCAATTTAAATTTTACACTTTACTGTTCTCTTTTTATTGAATTATTTATATGCAATTGGTGTTCACATGCACTTCAATTAATCTAACTTCACTCGTAAAATACACACAATCTAGAATTAAAATACATTAGAGTCATCACCACATGTCAAAATAAAGCTCATATATCAACTCTTGTAATTGTTGTTGCTCGCTTACACAGTGGATTTAAGTTTGATGAAATTTCAATGTCTCACGACATTGAATCGCGAAAGAGAAAACAAGTCTGAATAAATCTGTTGACTGATGACGTAATGAAGTGATAAGACAATTATTATAATCACATCTCACGGAAAAATGAGTCTTGAATCATCAAGACCGTGTTCGTTGGAGATGTTTACAAATTTATTTTCAACATCAGATTACAAAATGAGAAAATGCTAATAAAAACACTAGCTAAAATTAGAGTGCTTTACAGCCTCAGTGACACAAGGAATCATATTGAATCCATTAAGAGTTCGGAATTGAAATGAAATCCGTGTTAATTCCAAGATTCTCAGTAATATAGCATTGCAATATAATAAATCCTTGAAGTAAGTAGCCTACATACTCAATATATCTAAAAGATACCTTCAGTTCTTTAACATCAATATTATCTTGGCATTGCCTGTTCCAATATTTGTATTCTTAATCAAGGAGCACTTAATACTATTATACGTTTATTTGTCTTACAAAGCTCTTGATATATGCAAACATTTTGCTTTATAGATTTCTTACTATCGCTTAGGGTGATACCAAATGAATTACATATTATCTCGAAAAGAATATATTGAATGAATATTATGACGTTGACTGATTGAAGACTGATTTTAACATTTTAATATATTTAATTGAATATCATAGTTGATGGTCTGTTCAGGATTTGATAATTTAATGGTTTGTTAAATTAATTTGTTGTTTTCCTTGAAACTTTTTTTTTCATATTTCAATAATGAAAATAAACTTGAAAACAAAAGTTTAAATTTTCAATGAATGTTGTCGAAAATATCAGATAGTTTCTACACAAAATTTTAAGTTTCTACTCACAGTTTCTAATGATCATTCATTTAAATTAAATAACAAGAAGCTCACTTTTTTTACAATTTTAATTTCTGCATCTTTTCAGAACCTTACAATTTCGCATCAATAGAAATCAAATCTGTTTAAATTTTTTTTTATATTCGCACCGTTTTCACGTGTGAATCTATTGGTTTTGTTCAGATTGAAAAATCAGTTTTTCGCATTTTGTGAAAAAACAATGCAAAATTGGTTATAAAAGGTCACAGAAATAAAATTTGTGCCTGAAATTTTACATCATTTTCAAAAAACAGATTTCAAATTGGTTGTGGCATTGCTGAGAAAATCGCAAAATACGCTTTCTGTAAGCAAACAAGCAAGCAAGCAAGAAATCTCAATAACGGGACATTGTAGAGAC